GTGCGGAGGCGCCCATCAGCGGCGAGTGCTTGTACTTCTCGGGGTTGGACATATAGGGCAGTACAAGATCCTGCGGTACCGGCGCAGTCACCGCTGCCGTGCTCAGCGGCGGCGCCAAGGCAGGGGCAGCAAGCAGCCCAGCAGGTGCGCAGAGGTGGTGAGCGGGGCAGCGGTCCCAGCAGGCAGCACATGCAGCGCATGTAAGGAGCTGCAGGTGGTAACCTGCCAGCTGCGCTGCTGCCAGTACCGCCCAATATGTAAGTTACCTTGGAGGGATCGTAGCAGGGGAACTCTCCCAGCTTGCTCAAGTGGCCCTCTGGCTGCCACACCGGGTGCCTGCAGCGCGGCGCGGGCGGCAGGCGGGGAAACCGTGCTGAGCAGCAGCGGCGTGCCGACCCCCCAGGGGGGTCGTACGACCCCCCTGCAGCCGCCGGGGCACGCTGCCAGGCATGGCTGGAAGCAAAGGGCAGGCCCCGGCAGCTGCCAAGAAGCTCACCTCACTTCATTGGAGTACGTGTCGGCATCGTACCTGCGTCACCGAAAAGGGGGCATGGAGGAAAGTGAGGTGAGGTGGGGCACAGGAGGGAGAGGCAGGCATGCAGCCAGTGCCGTGGACAGGTAGCCAGGCACGCATGCACAGCCCAGCCCGCCCTGCCAGCCTCACCCCGTGCCGGCCGGCGGGTTGACGTCTGTGCGGCCCCAGTGCGACATGACAATGGCGGGGCGCAGCACGGCGGGCAGCCAGCAGGAGCCCTCGTCGTGCACCGTCAGCTGCAGGGGGCCGGGGTGCGACGCAGGCGGCTGTGAGCGCGGCTGTGAGTGCGGCTGTGAGTGTGCGGTAGGCAACGCGGCGCAGCGGGCCGGGCCATGCACGGCCTACCGCGCCCGGCTGCCCATCCTGCCAATCGCCCGTCCCGCCAGCCGCTCAGCCCAGCCGCCCATCCCAGCCCAGCCCCCCCACGCACCACGATGTGGTCCCTGCCTCCGTTGCGGTCCCAGTACGGGAAGTGCGAACGCACCCAGCTCTGCACCTCCATGAACCTGCAGGGGGTGGCAGGGGGGTGGGAGGGCACAAGCAGCCAGGTCGGGGCGGTCAAGGAGAGCAGCGGCAGGCAGGGCATGCCGGCGTCGGCGCATCGGCGCAGCGCACGCCGCTGCCACGAGCGCGCAGCGTGTGTGCAACTCCATGCCTGCATCGTGGCAGGTCAGAGCCCCCCCACCCTGGGTGCCCCTCACATGTTTGTGGCTCCGTGGGTGCGCTGGGCGGCGGGCCCGCCGTGGAAGTAAGGAAAGTCGTTCGAGTCTGCATGGGTGAGGGCCAGGGAGCAGGCAGCGGCACATGCACGGTAACAGGGAGCAGGGAGGGCCGCGGGACCAGGAAGGCAGGCAGGGAAGGCAGGGGACACAGGCAGGCAGACAGGCAGGCAGGCAGGCAGGGGAGGCAGGCAGGCAGGCAGGCAGGCAGGCAGGCAGGCAGGCAGGCAAGCAGCGCGCAGCAGGCAGGCGTCGCAACAGGCGCAGCGTCAGGCGCCGGCGGGCGGCTCACACAGGACGGGCCAGATGGCGCAGCTGGCGTAGACCTGCAGTGTGCGGGCGGCCAGGCAGCAGCCCGGGTGACAGCCCGCCAGCTAAGCGGCCATGGCAGCGCAGCATGCACAGAAAGCGGCCACGGCGGCCCGTCAACATTGACACGACAGCGCCCTGCGGTACAACAACGGTGGCAGCGGTGCATGTACGGTACGGTGCGTACGGGGAGATAGAAGTAGTCTGCCTCCTCCGGGTCCAGCGTGCGGTGCTCGCTCTGCAGCAGCATCTCGTGGATGCCTGCGGCGGGGGCAGGGCAGCGCGGCCAGCAAGCGGGTGGGCAAAGTGGAGCACGGGGAAAGCAGGCAGGCAGCATGACCGACACCTGCCTCCCTCAGTTAAGCTAACGGCACCCTCTGCCCCGTCCCGCACGCAGCTGCCAGCATGTCGGCAGCAGCAGGGCGGGCACAGCCAGCGGGGAGCCAGCCACATCAGCAGCACACGCCATCACCATCCACCGCCCAGCCCTCCCCCCCGCCCACCCACCCGTCTCGGGCTGATAGAGCCATAGGAAGGGGGTGTAGGACTCGTTCTGCTCGTTGAACACGCGGTGGGTGCAGTCGTCCTTGGCCACACGGTACTACAGGGCGATACAGGGGCAGCACACAGCGGTACGAACAGTCCCATCGCCAAACCGCCCACCCTCTGCAGGCGCCAGCCGCAGCGGCGCATGCGGGTGCCGCCATTGAATCAGGCAAGGCAGACGCGCGTCACCCGTCCTGCGCAGCACAGGCCCCCCTGGGCCCCGCGGCACTCCTCCGGCACACACACAAAACGCACCGCCAGCCCGGCAGCATCAGCCCACCTGCAGCATCAGTGCATTGTACATGGGCGGCAGCTCGTACACGTAGATGAGCGGGCGCCTGCGCGTGGCGCCCTCCGCGGGCTCCCGCGCCGCCGGCGTGTGCACAAAGGGCTTCAGCCACGGCCGCTCGCCCTCCTCCATGCCTGCTGGGCGCGCGGCGCGGCGCAGGACGCAGGGCGCAGGCAGGGCACAGCGCGGTTAAGCTTACAGGCGGGGGGCTGGCCAGCAGCCCCGACATCCTGTGCGGCCCGCCAGCCTGCGCCCTCCAGCCACCCAGCACGGCCAGCCGGCCAGCCCTGCGTGTGCAGCCAACAGCCCACCCGGGGTCCAGGGCGTGCCGGCGGTGCGGTAGGCACAGTCGTGGCCCCACCAGCCCTCGTGGCACTTGCAGAAGCCCAGCTGGCACTCGCCGTGGCCTGCAGGGTGATGGGGGGCAGGAGGGGCAGCTCAGAAGCAGGCGGCCAGGCCAAGCAAAGGGCCGGCCAGCGCAGCAACACCCCCAATGCAGCACAGCCAGCGCGCTTCCCGCCGCCGCCGCCGCCGCCACCGCCGCACCGTTGCACTGGTTGGGGCAGAAGGCCTCGTGCTGGATCTCACACTTGCTGCCGCCCACGCCATCCTGCACATGCCAGCCCCGCCCACACAACAGGCCGCTCCACTCAAGGCGCACAAGACCAGGCCTGCAACTTTGGGCTGCACGAACCTCTTCACCGCTGCCGGCTGCAGCCCCAGCCAGCAAAGCTTGCGGCCGCGGCCGCCTGCCAGCCTGCAGCACCAGCCAGCAAAGCTCACCAGGATGCAGGGGCAGCGGTACTCTGGCTCCTCCGCCACACACCACCCCTTGTCCCCGTACAGCAGCTCGGGGTTGACCGCCCCAAAGTCGCTCTTCTTGCCATCCCAGCCCTGCAGGCAGCAGGGGCGCAGCCGCGGGTGGTCAGACTGGCAGGCGGCGGGCGGCGCGCGGGCGGCTAGCGGTGCGGGAGATGGGCGGCAGGCAGCAAGGCCAGGCAGCGCCGCACACAGGTGGCAAAGCAGAGGTGAGGGCAGCGGTGTGGCGACAGGCTGGATGCCAACACTGCGTCGGCCCTGCTGCAAGCAACCCCTCGCCATGCGGGCATGCATGCAAGGCAGGCAGGCAGACAGGCAGGTGGGCAGGCGGGCAGGCGGCCCCTCACCGTGTTGCGGCGGCAGTAGTGGGCAATGGGGCGGCCGGGGCGCTTGGGCGGCGTGCCTGGCCTGTCCCCGGGGTCTGCTGGGATGCGGCCGTAGGCGAAGGTTTCATTGCAGTAGCAGTGGGCTGCAGGTGCCGGGGCAGTACAGGTGCCCAGGCTAAAGCTGGGTGCGGGCGGCTAGGTACCCTGGCTACACAGCCAGCGGGGGTTTGTGGCAAGCGCCAGCCGGCATGAGCGGATGATGCTGCCAGCCAGGCGGCAGCCACCAGGCGCAGCGATGCACCCCCACACCATGAAGCCACGCAGCCAAACGCCAGCGCCCCCGGCGCAGCCCGCCCACCTATGTCTTGGTCGCAGTAGTCGGTACAGGCCAGGGTGAGGCCCCACTTGCCCGGGTCTGTGGGCTCCTGGTACGGCTCAAACCCCGCCGTCCGCCACGCCTGGCTGCACGGCCGCTGCAGGCGTGGCGCAGGGCAGACGGGCGGCGGGGGCGGGGGCGGTTGGTTGTAGGCGTTTGGTTGTGAAACCGGAGCCATGGCGCAGGGCAGCTCGCGGGGCAGGCAGGGATGCCGGGCAGTCCCAGCAGGAAGCAGGGTGCTGGCCAGCCAGCCAGGAAAGCGCGGGGCCCGGCCCCCTCCCCAGCGCATGCATCCGCCAGGGCTCCCACCCGCATGCGCCGGCTGCAGTCGTCGCCGTTCCAGCCGGCGGGGCAGCGGCACCACCCCATCATGCCATCGCACACGCCTGCGGGGAAGGCATCGCAGCACTCGGGCAGCCACACCGGTGGCGTTGCCCATGGGACGGCATCACCGCACAGCAAGGAGATGCCGGGGTCAAGCAGTGGCGGCGTCTGCGAACAAGCAGCGGCGGCACACATCCTTCCCCTCGCCGCAGCGGCCCCAGCGCCGGCCCACTCACCGACCCAGTTGCACTGCGCGGTGGTGTCGTTGCCCCACAGGCACTGGCGGTCGCCGAGCGGCGGCGCCTTGGCGGGAATGGGCGTCTGCGCCTCGTACCGCCCGCACCAGTCGCCCAGTGCGCAGCCGCACCGCTCCTCCACCACGCTCGGGTCGGGCTTGGCGATAGGAGGGCGCGGCCGCCGCTGCAACCGGTCTGCTATGTGCAGGCCCTCCTTGGCAAGGCCGCCGTCGTAGCCGCCGCCGCTGACGGGGTCGCCACTCTCGCTGTCCTCCTCCGCCGACAGCCCCAAGTCCTGTACTGCCTGCCGTATCGGCTGCAGCAGAGCGAGATGGACTGGTGGGGATAGGGCTCAGGAGAGTAGGCTGCAAGCAGAAAACCTTGCCCCAGAGCGATCGGTGAAGTGCCGTCCAGCTCGCCTGGCTGTACGCCGACAAGTCCACATCGGCCACAATGGAGAATTTCCAGACGAAGACGCCCGCCAGCACCGCCAGCAGCACGATGAGCACTGCGGCCTGGCCACGGCCTCTCCTCTCCCCCAGGTGCGCCCTCGCCATGTCACAGATCGTTGGAAAGCCGGTGATGATTGCCGATGGGTTTCCTGCAGGCTGCAGCTTCTGTGCTCCGCGTGATGTGCCCCTCTGGCGCCCAGCCCTTCGACGCCTCTGCGCCGCCCACATCGCTTGGTATGGTTGCAGCAATGGCTGAAGCGCCGGGGAGCCTGCTAGCCTCCAAACAGTGGACTGGACTCATCCGATCCCTTGACGCTGCACTCCAGGAGGCGGTGGACTGCGATCGACAGCGGCTGCTGCTTAACCGCGGCTTTTGCCTTCAGCAGCTGGGCCTCTACCGCAAAGCGCTCAAGGTTGGCAATTGCAGGCCCGGCATGTGCGGCTCATCAGGGCTCCCGCACGGCGAGCAGCGCCCTCAACCTTGGTACAAGTCGCCTCGATCGGCCCGGCGGGCAGAGCAGGCCGCCTGCGGCCGCCGCCGGTGCCGCCGGTGTCGCCTGCCGCCCGCCTCCTTCCCGCGCTTCAAGCCATCACGCTGGCTCGCTGCCCCCCGGCTTGCTCTCACGCTCCCCGTCCCTGTCCCTGCGCCCACAGGATTATGAGGCGGTGCTGGCGGGACAGCCAGGTCAGGCGGCTGCGCTGCTCAGCAAGGCGAAGGTGCATGTGGCTCTGAAACAGCTTGAGGTGCGAGGCAGTCGGTATGGCTGGCTGGCTGCCTGCCTGCCTGGCAGCGCAGGCCTGCGTCGCACTGCCCTGCTGCCGGGTTTAGTTGGTGGCCACCTGGAGCTTGCCTATCGTGCCAGCCGCTGCCCCGATCCCAGATGGGACAGATGTTGCATTGTCCCACACCACACATGCCGGCTGCCTGCCCACCCGATCTGGCCCGCAGGAGGCCCAGGAATGTTTGGAGGAGCTGGGCAAGGCAGCAGATCTGGCTGCTGACATGGCGGTGCATCTGGAAGGCCAGCTGCTAGCGGCGGCACTGGCGGCAGGCGAGGTTAAGGAAGGCGCCAAGCTGCCACTGCTGCCGGCACTGGCGCCCCCCGCCCCACCGCCACCGCCGCCGCCACCAGCGCCTGCGCCTGCACCTGCCAAGCCGGCGGCAGCAGGCTTTGCCCCGGGCTTCCTGTCCGCGCCAGCCAAGCAGCCTGCACAGGCCATGTCCAGTGCAGCGCCAGCAGCAGCAGCAGCGCCACCCACGCCTGCAGGCTCTGCAGGAAGCGGAGCCGCATCGTCTGCAGCAGCAGCACTAGCAGCAGCAGCACCAGCAGCAGGCAGCGCCTCCCCACTGGCGTCGCAGGGAGGTGCCGCCAGCAGCGGCACTAGCAGCGCCGGCCAGCCGGCAGCAGCGGCAGCTGGGCCGCCGCCAATTGCAGCCGGGGTGGATCCTCTGCACAAGCTGATCGCCCGCGCTGATGCAGCCCAAGGTGCCCTGGCTGCAGCCACCGCCCTTGCTGCTGCTGGGACCGGCAGGCTGTGCCTGGCGTGGATGTGCCAGCTCAGCAGCTGCACTGCAGGCTGCAGGGTGTGTTGTCTGCCGTCTGCCCTGGAACGCCCCGATTATTGGAACAATCCACCTTGCACGCTTCCTCACCTCCATGCCCAGCCCGCCTGCCCCCTCGCCTCGCCTGCTCGCCGCGCCTGCAGGCCTGGCGCTTGCCGTGCAGCTGGTGAACGACGGCAGCTGCCGGGAAGCTGCGTCCCTGCTGGACCTGCTGCTGTACCACCACCCTGGCAACGTGGGCGCCTTTGCGGCACGCGGCACCGCCAGAGCCTTGCTCGGCGAGCTCAGCGGTGCGCCCGTCACGCCCCTCCCTGGTCTCCCCTGCCTGCCGCGCCACCCGCCTGTCATCAGGCTACACATGGCTGTGCTGCTGTGGCCACCGGACACAATCAGCGGCCTCCCCAGCCCCTCCGCCGCCCCTTCCTGCGTGCTCCCAGTCTGCCCCCGTCCCACATACCAACCCCTCCACCCTGCCACTTCTGCAGGCGCGGTGGAAGACTTCTCCGCCGCTATCCAGCTGGAGCCGAGCTTTGCCGACTTCTACAAGCGGCGCAGCCAGGCGCTGGCAGGTGCGGCAGCGCCGTGCGCGGCACCTGCTGCCGGCTGTGTCTGCAAGCGGGGAAGTTGCCACCGCTGCAGGCTGCCTGCCTGCCCCTCTGCCTGCCCTGCCCCCCATGGGCTTGGGTTCGCAGCGAGTTTCAGCGAACGCGAGTGTTCACCTGTCGGCCACTGCTGCCGCCGCCGCTGCTCCCTTGGCACAGCGCTGGGCGAGGATGAGCGGGCCGCCGCCGACGTGCAGAGCGCAATCAGCCTGTCGCCAGACGCAGCAGCCAAGGTGCGGCGCGGCATCCGCAGGCTGCCGTGCGCCGCGTGTTGGTGGAGATATGCATACGCCTGGACCGGCCCTAAATAGGCCCTTGCGGCAGATGCACGCGTACTCCACCCCCCCCCCCCACCACCACCACACACACCCTGATGTGGCAGCCTCCCTCTTTCCCTCCCTCTTTCCCACCCCCCTTTTGGGGTCTACCTTCTGCAGGCCGAATGTCACGAGGACCTAGGCAGGCTGCACCAAAAGGCAAAGGACTACCGCCGTGCGGAGCAGGAGTTTAGGGTGCGCCTCCCTGTGCTCCCAGCCGGCCCGGGTGCCCTGCTGCCTGTGCTGGTTGTGTGGGGCGCTGGCCTGCACCAGGGGGCGGTAGGCGCGTACAGCAGCGGCAGCGGGAAGGCACTTGCACCGGCGTTGCAGCGCTGCCCCCAGCATTTCCTGCCTTCCGCCCTGCCCTGCCCTCGCGACCACCGCCCGCAGGTCGCCGCCAGCCTGGCGCCAGCTGGGCCCCGCCTGGAGCTGCTGACCGCGCTGGGCCTGTGCCAGGTGTCGCAGGGAGACCTGCAGGCAAGCGCGCCGCGTGTGCCCTTGCAGCCGGGCCTCTAATGGTAGCCGGCAGGGTGGGCCTCCGGGCCTGCACCCAGCTGGCTTCCTCAATCCACGCCCAAGGGCGTATTCTTTCTTTCTTTCTTTCAGCCGGGCCTGCCTCGTGATGCGTGCTGGCAGCACACACACACACACACACACACACACACACACCTGCCCGCTTGTATCTATGCTTCTGGCCTCGCACCGCCCGTGCCGCCGCCTTGTACCGCCACCATCGTACTGCATGTACTACATGTACTACATGTACCGCAGGAGGGCATCGCCACCTACGAAGCCGCCCTGAAACTGGACGCAACCAGCAAGGACCTGTGGCTGAATCTGGGCATGGCCTGCAAGGAGCTCTGCTGGGTGGAGCGTGCGGAGCAGGTGCGCCCCTCGGGCCGCGTGTGTCAGGCGGCGCTGGCTTTAAGGCTGCTGGCGGCGGCGGCAATGCACGCCCAGCCGGCCGGGGCACACAGCAGGCTGGCTGGCTGGCTGGGGCCTGCTGGGCTGCTTGCAGCGGGGCAACCAGCCAGCCGGGAGCGAGCAGCGGCGGGCTCCCCGCCGCCGAGCATGTCCTTGCTCCGCATCGCTCTGCGCTGTGCGGTCTGACGGCCGCCGCCCCGCGGCCCCGTGCGCTGCAGGCGCTGCGAAAGGCGGCTCGCCTGGCGGGCAAGGGCGGCACCGCGGTGCACGCCTACCGCCTGCTGGCGCAGATGAAGCAGGGCCTGGGGGACCACCTGGGGGCGGTGAGGCCGGGCTGGGCGGCTGGTTTAGGGTTATTCTCTGCTGCACCCGGCTTTGCCTGGCTGGCTGGCACGGCCGCAGACCGAGGCTTGCTTCCGGCCCACACACACACACAACACCCGCTCTCCCGCCTTCCCCCCCCCGCGTGCCCGGCAGGTGCGGGAGCTGAACCGCGGCATCGCCGCCACCGACAAGCAGAGCCAGCGCATCGAGCTGCAGTTCCTGCGGGGTGAGCCTGGTGGCAGCGGCGCCTGGCGGCAGCGCTGGGCCGCAGCTCTCCAGCATCCGCCGGCACACGCATGCACCTCACGCCCCACACGCCAGCCCCCCGCTCCCCCACCCACCACAAACACGCACCCGGCAACCCCACACACGCCCACCCATCCGCGCCGTTGCCCCGCAGGCGCGTGCCACCACGCTGTGGGGCTGCACCGCCAGGCCGTGGAAGACTACCAGCAGACGCTGGAGGCGCAGGACTCTCTGGACCCGGGCAGTACCACCTCGGGGGAGCTGGTGTCGGTGGGTGCAGTGCGGGGTGCAGCTTGGGGCGCCTGGGGCGCAGTGTGGGGTCCTGGGGTCGCTGGCTGGGGGGGCTGGCTGGCTGGGAGGGGTGGCTGCCGGGTACCTGCACACCGGGGACGGCTGGCGAGGGTGGTTGCATCTGGGGCGGGTTGCTGGGAGGCTGGGCAGCGGGGGCTCTAGAACCTCCCCGCACGCACCTCCTCCCCTGCCTCCCTCCCCGCCTCCCTCCACCTGCCACTCAGCGCACCTGCTTGCCTGCCTGCCCGCCTCCCTGCCCCCCCGCAGTTCATCTGCCTGGCCTTCTACCAAAAGGAGATGGCGCTGTACGTTCGCAAGAACCTGGACAGGTGTGTGTGTCTGTGGCTGTGTGGCTGTGGCTGTGGCTGTGTGCTCGCACGGGCGGGCGCTGCGCTGCAGGCTGCTGTGGCAGCTGCAGCTGCTGCTGCTATTTGCCCCAACCGCGCCTGCCCCTCCCGCCCCTGCCCTGCTTTCCAGCCACGTGCTTTCCTTCTGCGTGGATGCCGACCTGCACCCCGAGTTCAAGGTGTGGCGCTGGGGCTGGGGCACTGCAGTACTGCGGTACTGTGGGGCTGGGTGGCCAGGGGTCGCGCCGTATACCGCCTGCCGCTTACCACCGATTGGCTGGTTGCTGTCCATTTCTGCCACCAACGCTCGCACACTCCACTCTCGCCTGCAGGAGCTGTGGTGCAAGAAGGGGCCTCCCTCGGGCACGTTTGTGTCCATGTACCGCGCAATAATGCAGGTACAGGCAGTCCTGCTCTGTACCTCATCTTGTTCTCTTTCTTCTCCTTCTGCCTTGCCGCCACGCTGCGCCGCCCCTGCACGCACCATTCTCTCTGCGACTGCCGCGGTCAGCCGATCCCCTGTGCTTTGCCCGTTGCCCGCCCGGCTGCAGCCGCAGCACCCGAATTGGTCGGCGCCCAAGCCGCCGCCGCCGCCCGCGGAGCAGCTGGGCCTGCTGCTGGAGGCTGCGGATGCTGTGGGGAAGCTGGTGCAGTACAGCCATCAGGTACCGCACTCATGCCGCTCGCCATGCTACACGCATGCGGCAGGAGGGGTGGCCCGCTGCAGCGCCTCGGTGCACAGCGGCTGCTTTTGTGGCACAGTGTGCCGGCGTGTGGCTACCTTCCAGACCTTCCCTGTCCCCACCCTCTCTCACCTCCTCTCGCTCCCACCCCCTCCCGCAGGGCTTCCTGCCTAACAAGCGCCAGCAGCGCATGGCGGGCCTGGCCGCCATTGAGTTTGCGCAGGCGCTGCAGCAGCTGGTGCGCCCCTGCGGCTCCTCCCCGCGCCGCACGCCACTGCTCCGCCTGCCGCACACTGCAGTGCACTAGCGCCAGCCCCCATGCGCAGCGCAACGCCGCTGCCTTAGCCCCGCCCTCCACCCCCCGACCCTCTTGCTCCACCCTGCCAGCTCTCCTTCTCCCCCCGCCGCCCGGCAGGCCGCAGACAAGCGGGAGGGGCGCCCCACGCTTGTGGACAACGCGGGGGCGTCGGTGAGCGCGCGGCGGCACAGCCGCAGCGGGCGGCACGAGATGGGGTGGCGGGACGCCATGGACGTCATTGTGAGGTGGCGCCAGCTGGCGGAGCCAAACGACCAGGTGGGGCTGCTGGGTGGCTGCTTGCTGCTCTGCAAGCAGCAGGAATAGCAACAACATCAGCACTTTGTTAGTGGGAGGGGTGGCGCGCGCACCTGCTGCCTGGCTTCTTGCAAGACGCTCCGTGTGTGGCGGAGCGGCCAGCCCGCTGGAGCAGCAGGGAGCGTCTGCCCGGAAGCGCGCTGCATCTCCGCCGTCGCATTGACGGTACCGCATTGTACCGCCCCGTGCCGCAGGTCATCTGGGTGGACCTGCTGACGGAGCGGGAGTTCAACGCCGGCTTCGGATCCCACACCCCCATGTTCACGGGGCAGGTGCGCGGGCGGGCGGCAGGCTGGGAGGGGGCAGGCGGGCGAGGCGCAGCGAGGGCGGGGCCGGCCTGCTGGCGCTCGCCCAGCGGGCTGGCTGCTCCTGCCCCTGCCCCCGGAACGGGCGCCGGTCCTGCTCGTGTGTCTGGCGCCGCCCCTGCGTTGGCGACGCCGTGCTGCAAGCTCATGCTGCCACTGGTACTGCTGGATGGTACCGCTGCAGACCAAGTGCGTGCGGTACTACATGATATTCCACCGCGCCATGGCCGTCATGAAGCGGGTGCTGGCAGCTGAGAGGAAGGCCACCAATGCCAGCAACGCGGCGGGTGAGTGTGGGCGAGGGGGCTTGGTGGGGTGAGGTGGTGGTGGGGTGGGCGTCGGGTGGAGGCACGGGCTGCTCCTGCCGGCGCGGCTGAGCCTGTTGCAGCCGCCCGCCCCTGCCTGCCTCAAACCGGCCGTGCTACCTCACCTGACCTGCTCCTCCTGCCCGCAGTGGAGCTCGACACAGAGGAGCGGCAGGCGGCGGCGCAGGCGGCGGAGACGGCAGAGGCAATGTGGAAGGTGGGCGGGCGGCGGGGCAGGCGGGTGGCAGGCGCTGGGCGTGCCACCAGCGCCGAGTGGCCTTGCGCCTCCCTGGGGGGTGCTGCCTGTGTGCCTGTGTGCCTGCTGCCTGCTCGCCTGGCAAGCGAGCACAGCCAGCCGGCCTGCCAGCCTTGTGGTGGTGTCCTCTCCCCTCGCACACATACACATGTTCTGCCCCACACACCTGCGCCCTGGCACCCCCTTGCCGCAGGCGCTGGGGTCGGACTGCTGGGTGGTGGTGCCCATTGAGAGCACCACGCGGCCGGGGCACACGGTGGGCCGCCGCCGCCGCCGCCGCCGCCGCTGCTGCTGCCGCGGGCCTGCCGCCGCTGCTGCTTCCGCGGGCCTGCCGCCGCTGCCGCAGGCGAAGCCCCTGACATTGGTTCGAGCACAAGCAGGCACAGCGCCTGGCATTGGGACCTCGAGCAAGCAAAGCCCCCCGGGCTTCCATGCAGCTGCCATGTACACACACACACACACCTCCTGCTGCGCCCCCCATGCAGCTGGAGGGCACGCGGCTGACTGTCGTCAGCATGTGCAAGCAGGCGGCGGCGCCAGAGGAGCAAGCACAGTGAGTGGCAGGGCCGCGCTGCCTGCCGCCACACTGACCAGCCTGTGTCCCACCCACACGGGTGCCCATCCCTGCCGCACGCACACCGGAATCACACACACACCGTGAGCGTGACCCCGCACACCTGCCCCCCATCAGGCCGGTGGCTTTCCGGCTCGGCAACGGCGTGCGCGGCGCCGAGGTGGCGCAGGGCGGCGAGGCGGCGCCCCCCAAGCCGCGGCCGCAGGTGGGGGGGGGCAGCCCCCGCCGGCGCTGGCCGGTGCCGCTGGCTGCCTGCACCGGGCCGGCGCTCCAGCCTCATTGGCCCGCCCGCCTTTCCCTCTGCCTACCGCCGGCACACCTTTGTTTCTTCGGTTTACCTGCTGCACTTCCAATTATTACCCACCCCCCGGATGTGTCTGTACACACGCTCTCACCCTGTGGCCTCCTGGGCCCTCCCACCTCCTTCGGTTTACCTGCCCCACTCCCACACTCCCATTCCCTGCCTCCCCCGCCCCAGCTGCCACCCCCACTGCCCACCCCTGCCCTGCCTGCAGCCCGACGCTTACGAGTTCTCCATCCGCACACCCGTCACCCCAGCCCGGTGGGACGACTACCACCAGGCACGCCCGCCTCCTGTGTCGTGCTGCCTGCGTCTGCCTCCTTTGCTGTCTGTGCTGTTTTCAGTCGCTGCCGCCGCTGCTGCCGGCTGCTGCCTGGGGCTGGTTGCTGGGGGTGGTGGGGGGGGGGGGG